CAAAAGGCAGGACCTTCCCCCAGGGCATTGAGGCAGGTGTGTTGAAAGGGAACTGAATTCCTAGTACATGCATGCTGTGCCAGTTATCAGTTTACTGCCTCTCAGCTGTAAATCCTTAATTGCCCAGCTCCTGACACTGAAGCAAAGCCCTATAAGCATTTCTCTTGCCAGCTCATGATGTTAAGCTTTGTCAATAGAGGGTGCTGGAGAGACATCAGAAGGGGCTTCTCTTCCCTGTTCTGGTACACTTTCCTTTTTTCTTACTCTCACAATGCTGGGCTGGCACACTGAGTGGTACTCATCTTCAGAGGGTTTCAGGGGCACCTTGGGGGCAGCTTGTCCCAACCAGTTTCCCAGCTAAGGGTCTCCAATGACTTCCCGAAAAGTTTAACACCAACTTCTAGGCAGCTTCTGGGTGAGATTTGTTGGCAACACAGTGGACAGTTTCCCACTTGACCTTGACCTCAGTGAACTTTTACATGGTTCAGTGGCCCCAGCCACACTCTCTCCAGTGAGATCTGAATTTCAGGCTCTAAGAAGCACCTCTCCCAAATTCACTCCTGTATTATTTAGAGTTCTCTTTACCCCTAAGTAGCCAATCCCCTGTCACTAGTTAATACTTCTTTATAGTCTACCTTCCCTGTTAGAATTACTGTGTGGTTTCTGTCTCCTGTTTAGGCCCTGACTGATACAATGCTCATACACATGCTGTTGGGCTGCACGCCACAGGCCTGCAAGCCTTGTTAAGGCCCAGCCTCGAGGCTAAAGGAAGAGGCTGGAAACAGAGACAGAGCTATCAATGGTTTATTGGATAGGGGATCTTACACTCCTGAAGCCAGGGAGGTTACCATTTATAGGGGGAATTGAGGTCAGGTTGGCTCATCAGTTCCCGGGAAAACCAGCTGCTGGGGCACATCCCTCACAGCCCCTTTGGTTAACAACCATCACAAGGGCAGACGTTTCCCTTTAATAAACTGGCAGTTGGAGCCCTCCTGGACTAAGGATTAGAACAGTCACTAGCTGGGGCAGGGGGCAAACACGTAGGCAGTTACTGGTTAAGTTCTATGATTAAGAGGTTCGGATAGTCAAGTGAGTAGCGTGCAGGTGAAGCAGGGACTGGTTGAGCAGGGGACATACAGAGAGCAAGAGAACGGCCATCTCGAGTGGCCCGACCACACACATGCCTTGACACACATCCCTGCGTACTCCCTGGAGGGGCTGTCCTCGAGCAGCTCCTTGCTCCCTCCTTACTCAGATTTCCCCAGCAAATCCTCTGGGCATTTAGGTCACCTCTACCTCTCGAATACCCACCGTATCAGCCAGGGTTCAGTCAGGAAAACAGAAAACACTTTCAGTATTTCCAGTAGGAAGGGATGTAATACAGGGACGTTGGTGCTTAAGTCCTGGCTTCACCTGATCCTAACTGTGTCACTATGGGCAGGCGACTTAGCCTTTCTGAAACTCAGTTACCACTTCTAGGAAGACAGAGACAATCACAGTACCTAACTCATATGGTTGCTCTGAAAAATTACGTAAAATAATCCTTGAAAAATTACCAATGCCTGGTACATGGTTAGTGACCAATAACTGTAAGCTAATGTTGGCGTTACTACAATAGTAGATTGCTTTAGGGGCCCCAACTCTTCATACTGCCCCATATCCATACTTTTTACCCTATGTCTTCACAGTTTTTCCCACTAAAAGGATGGAGAATGTTTCCACATCCTTTGGCTTTGAGTTTGGCCAAAGCCAAAGCCAATAGCATAAGATGGAAGTGGTGGTATGCCAATTCCAAGACCTCTGGGCTTCTTCCATTGCCATGAAAAGAGCATATGCCAAGGCTAGCCCACCGTCCCCAAGCAAAGAGGGACACATGAAATGAGGCTGCCTTGGCCGAGCCCCCAGATGAGCCCAGCCTAGATCAGTCAACTATTAGCTAAATAAGCTAAATAAGCTAAATAAATGCTTACTGTTATATGTCACTGAGATTTTATGGTTGTTTGATATACAGCTGATACAACTACCCCTACAACTTATTATATGTTATAGTACTTGGTGATTGTTAATAGCAGCTCATTATTTGGTTATATATAATTGTTTCCTCGGACAGGTCTCTCCTAATTAAGATCGCCAGACTTAGCAAATAAAAATACAGCATCCCGGGCTTCCCTGGTGGCGCAGTGCTTGAGAGTCCGCCTGCCGATGCAGGAGACGCGGGTTCGTGCCCCGTTGCGGGAGGATCCCACATGCCGCGGAGCGGCTGGGCCCGTGAGCCATGGCCGCTGAGCCTGCGCGGCGGGAGCCTGTGCTCCGCAAATGGGAGAGGCCACAACAGTGAGAGGCCCGCATAACGCAAGGAAAAAAAAAAAAAAAAAAAAAAAAAAAAAAAAAAAAAAAAAAAAAAAAATACAGCATCCCCAGTTAAATTTGAATTTCAGATAAACAATGAAGAATTTTTTAGTATAAGTGTGTCCCATGCAATTTTTAGAACCTATTTATACTAAAACGTATTTGTCTAAAATTTAAATTTAACTGGGCACCCTTACATATATTTATCTGGCAATCCTACTCCCAGTGCTTGAGGCAGGATCAACATCTTACACAAAAACTGCGAGATAGTTCCCATGGTCACCATCATAATTCTGGGAGAGGAAAGCCACGGTTCAGTTAAAGATTTGCAAGACGGAGTTCCCTGGTGATCTAGTGGTTAGCATTCTGGGCTTTCACTGCCGTGGCCTGGGTTCAATCCCTAGTCAAAGAACTGAGATCCAGGGCTTCCCTGGTGGCGCAGTGGTTGAGAGTCCGCCTGCCGATGCAGGGGACACGGGTTCGTGCCCCGGTCCGGGAAGATCCCACATACGGCAGAGCGGCTGGGCCCGTGAGCCATGGCCGCTGAGCCTGCATGTCCGGAGCCTGTGCTCCGCAATGGGAGAGGCCACAACAGTGAGAGGCC